ACACAAATATGAGAGGATAATGAAGGATAAGGAGAAAATTGAATAGAATTGGCATGCAACACTTAAAATTACAAATATTACTCGCAATTGAACGAGGTAAAATAAAAAAATGAAAGTATGAGGTAAAGAGAAGATTATAGAAACGAAGGTGAATTATAAAAATCTAGTAATAATGATAAATATAATTAACACAGGTGCGTTCACAACACTGGCGTCGGGAAATAATTAAGCGTGGGCTGCGGGAACCCGCGGTATTTGGGCTCAGTATCCCATTTCAAGTACTTCCATGCCGCCCTTTCACCAGTAAAACCTCCTTGTGTGCATTGATTTTTTCTGTCCGACCGCCACTGCTGTGCTTGCTAGTCGTGCGCCCGTTGCGCTCAGGAGTTCTGTATTCGTCAGCGTCATGTTCTTGTCCGTAGCCCATCCGGCCTCCGCCGCGCCCTCGTCCCCGCTCCGGCAGGCCTCCGAAAATCCCCAGTTGCCCTTGGCCTGTCGGCAGCTCTACACGCTACGTCCCATCACCTCTGTTGTATCTTCTTACTCTCGTGACGACTCGTTAACATCTAAGTGTGTTGTTTGTTCTCAACGGCGTTTAACACGGATCCGGATGTCGCGCACACGCCGCGCCGTTTGACGACTTGTACCCTAACTCGTCAACGCGTTGGTCCAACCAACCACGAACCACAGCGGATCGCCTGACGATCGCCCATGCAGCTCCATCGACCAAACTGGAAGCATCGGACCGAAGCCGGGGAAGCAAGACTCTGGCCGCAAAGGGGTGCGGTGACGGCTGGAAGACCTGGAATTTTCCGTGTCCAACAACGACTGCCGCACCTGTGATACCACAGTCCGCGTGCCGCAGCGGCCCGCGTTTGTTAGGCATCGTAAACCACCGCATTACTTTTGAATCTTCGTCCACGCATAAACCAAAATAAAAAATAAACTCAGAATTAGATGCAACGACGGAAACTGACGGATTTCTCCTCGATATCGCTAAAAAAAATATGCACTTTATGGATATTGTCGCGAATATCTCTAAGTATTGGTATTTTTAATTTCTAAACACGATATTTTTTAAATTAGTTGGTCTAAGCTAATCCCTCTAAAGATACGATTACAGTAAATTGTAAAGTTTCGAAAAATTTCCGTCCCACGAACCGACTGCGTGCGCTCTCGGCTCGCCCCTGACCTGTCCGTCCTCCGCTTGCCTAGGCAACAACTGGATCGAACGTTTCTCGTGTGTACATCAAGCTCGGGCCAACTGAAGCAGCGATGAGCAGAGCGGTTTGCATGGTGAGTGAGTGTCACAGAAGGTCACACTGCCATTAGGCGGTGCCTGCTAAACGAGGACTCGCCTGCGCAGACGGAACCGCACGCCTGTTAGACGCTCGGAGCTAGCCAATGCACAATGGCTACATCGCGTCGATAAAGAGGCTGGAGCTAGCCAAGCTAGCAAGGTCGTTACGTCCGCCGGCTGCGTAGAGAGCTGAGCTAGCCAAGCAAAGGCGTGAGCTCCGCCCGCCCGATAAGAGCTGGAGCTAGCCAAGCACAAGTACGACACATCCTGCCGTCTAGAGTCAGGAGCTAGCAGCACAAGTACGTACTGCCGCGCACTGATAGAGCCCTGGGAGTACAAAGCCAAGCACAAGATATCGTTCGCTCGACACACTTTCGATACAAATACTCCTTGGAAAGCCAATACGAGTTGTTTGCCCGGTCGGTCGGAATGCACGACGATAAAACTACATTCGAATGTAATGAGTTAGTGATTGGTTGATTGAATTGCTCACAATTTATTATACAATAAATAATAATCACAAAACAATAAAAAAGCAAAAAAAAAGAAAAATAAAACACATCAAAAAAAAACAAAAAACAAAGAATGAAAAAACAAAAATCGCAAATCAAACACAAGAAAGAAAACCAAAAAAAAACAAAGAAAGAAATTAAATGACAAAAGAAGATTAAGATATTTTTCTCAAAAAATAATCTATAGCTACACTTATAAGCCTTAACGAATAATTTGATCAGTTCTATAATACTACGTTAGGGCCGATATGTTGTTGTTATGTGCTCCTGACTCAATGCAGATTAGTGTTACTGGTGCATAAAAGTGTCGAATCCTATCGTGCCCTCAACATGTAATTTTGTAAAATCATTGTGCAACTTCTGTCCGTGTCAGTTTTGCGCTAGTATCGGAACTGATTTTGGAAATCAACCATTCGCATCCAAATCAGACGGTTGGAAATTTTTATTTTTTTTATTCCGGAGTTTGCTGGTGTGTCTCACTGCTGCGTTTATTTAGTACGCGCTATTGTTGCAGATCCTTCAGATCCGGACGTCGCAAGCGCACCAGGCTATCAATAAGAACTCTGTTCAATGCTCTGGAGCGGACAAGAACTATATCGGAGAGTCCCTGAATCAGAAATGACAACCGATTCATGCAGTAGCTCTGTCCAACCTGAACGCCCGCTGGGATGGGTCCTGTGGACCAATGTCGAGATCACGTCGAGAACAACAATACAGGAAGCACTTGAAGAGGTGGTACAGGAGGGTGTGTGTGGGGGTAAGTTTGAGGTGGTGGAGGAAGGAACGCAGCGCTGGGATGCGGTCTGGATGGACATCGGTGGCATCACGCCGAGACAACTACAGGTAAGCACTGAAGGAGTGCGTACAGTAGGTGTGTGTAAGGGGAGTGAGGGAGTGGTGGGCGGAGGTAGGAAGGAGGAACGCACGCCTGGATTAGCCTGCTGCACCATGGTGCATCTACCGCGAGAAACAACTACAGTAAGCAACTGAAGGAGCTGCCTGTAGCAGAGGTGTGTGAATGGGGGGGAGGTTGAAGGATGGGTGGAGATCGAGGTGAAGGAGAACGCATGTTGGAGGATGGGCGGTGATATGTCGGATCACGCGAAAACAACTACCAGAAGCACTAATAAGGTGCTTACGAGGGTGCGAGGGAGTGGGCAGGAGATGAGGAAGGGAATCGAGGGACGTAGCAGGAGTAGAGGATGTATTGAAGGAAAAGAGAGGGAAAGAGGAGAGGCATGAAGGAGGAGAAAAGGAGAAGGCCGAGTAGGAGGTGAGGGGAAAGAATGAGATTCATAGAAGGGAAACCGCCCTTCCATGCTGTAAGCGAAGAAAGATATGGTAGAGACAAAAAGAAGGCAGGGAGGATGGAGGAAGCGAGAGGAGAAGGAGATAAAGATGAAGATGAGAGAGCAAGTACGAAGAAAGAGAGGAGATTAGAGAAGAGGTTGAAAGAGGAGAATTGATGACGAAGAGAAGAAAGAGAGGACGTGATCAGGAAGAGAAAGTAAATAAGAGATGAAGAGGAAGGAGTAACGAGGAGGCATGGATAAGGTGAGTGATGGATTACAACCAAACAACGATGATGATATTATGATGAGATGATGATGATGTGCATCTGCATGCACATGCTTCAGCTCAGAGCAGGAATCAACTTGCTCTGGCGAGTGACATACGAGACAGTACAGCTGATGCTACTACAGCCATTGCGGTAGCGTCATGCCAGTCGGCGGAGCAACAGAGCTCTACAATTCATGGTAGAGATTCATAGGTTGGCTGGCGTCACCCCAACAGAATCCACAACACCAATCAAACAAGCAATAGCAAACAACAACACACAACAACATCACAACCAAAAAACAACAATAAAATCTCAAGTTCAGCAGTTGCTAGTGATGCTAGCGTCACACAAAGATAAGAATTAGCAGAGATCAACCACAACAACAACAACAACAACGAACAACTAGCTACTACTACTACACTACTATTCAATAACAACAAATGTACAATACAACTGAAACAACTAACGACAAAAACAACAACAACAACAACAGGCGAACAAAACGACGAGTGACCGAGCGGTTGCTTCTCTCACACCGTTCGTCTTTTCTTCCCTTCCCACAGACCGCACAACGCCTTGAAGGCGGTCAGCCGCGCGTAGAGTTCGTAGCTGTCTCAAGAGAGAGCTGGTCACCAAGCTGGAGAGAGACCGTCACGCCCAGGGCCTCGAGAACAGTCTGAGAACCGCTGAGGAACACGCCTCGCCAGTCCAGGCTCGACGAGAGCGGAAGGTCATGTGGCGGGGTCGCCCTAGCGATGACCGGGGGGGCGGAAATCGGGCCATGTGTGGTGACCGGCACGCCGATGCTTGTTGCAGAAGCCTGGTGACAACTCGCTTCGTAGCTTTCTGTGTGTAGTCTATGTTAAGTCTTCCTCTCTCTTCCTCTGTCTCTCTCTCTCTGTTCGTGTCTCCCTCTCCCCTTCCTCTATCTCTCTCTCTCGCTGTCTCTCTT